CACCCACCCTTGCTGCCACTCTTGCCGGCCTGGCGGTCCTCCTCCCCCAGGCTGGCCAGCAGGTTCTCCGCCTCCCCCGGCCAGTAGTCGCCCTCAAAGTAGGGCAGGTGCAGGACGGAGGGACGCTCCAGGCGATGGTCCCGGCCCCCCTCAAAGTACGTGTCGTACAGGTTGGACACATGCGCCCCCCAAAAACCCCTCAACCCCTGCACCCACCCTTGCTGCCACTCTTGCCGGCCTGGCGGTCCTCCTCCCCCAGGCTGGCCAGCAGGTTCTCCGCCTCCCCCGGCCAGTAGTCGCCCTCAAAGTAGGGCAGGTGCAGGACGGAGGGACGCTCCAGGCGATGGTCCCGGCCCCCCTCAAAGTACGTGTCGTACAGGTTGGACACATGCGTCACGATGCCCTCCGCCCGCGCCTGTGCAGGGTTTGGGGTGGGTGAATGAGTGGGGTGCTGGGTTGGCAGTGCATGGGTGGCATCGCGTGCACGTCAGCCTGGCATTGAAATGGGGAGTAAGGGGGCGCAGCAGGCGCTTTGGCCACCTGCGACGTGCCCCTCAGACCTGTGTGGGCGAACCAGCAAAGGCAGGACGCAACCAAACCTTGCCACTCTTCCCCACTCTCCACCCAGACACCATCCCACCTGGCGCAGCATGATGTGGTACCACTCCCGCAGGCGGTCGCTGCGGGGCGTCTTTTGCTTGCCCGGGTGGCAGTACAGGATGTAGTCATCGCCCTGGGATTACCGAGGAGTGTGGTGTGGGTCTCAGTAGGCTCGAGGACCGTCACGGTGTCATGTGCGGTCGCAATGCAAGGTGTGCAAACTGCAAGCAGGTTATGCACTGACCGCATCTTCTTGTCCTCTAGAGGCACTGCCTTGCCCCCACCGAACTGACTCAGCAAGACACCAACTCCCATCCCACCCCCTCACAAAAAGATCAGCCAACCTGCAGGGGCGGGCAGGCCCAGATGTACATCTGCAGGAAGCCGCGCTGCTTGGCGTGTGCCAGGTAGCCCAGCAGGACCTCGTGGTAGACCATGGTGCGCAAGGCCACGCCGCGCCCCGCCGCCGTCACCTCCTCCGGCTCCAGGTACTTGACCGAGTCGAGGTAGGAGAGGTAGATGCACTTGCGGTTGGGCTCCGGCGCCTCGTCGCCGTACTCCTGCACGTACAGGCAGTAGACACAGAGATCCACGCCATCGCGGTTCTGGAACAGGAGCAGGACCTTCTGGCGGTACATGAAGGCCTCGGGGTAGCCTTCCCCCCGGAACGCGTCCAGGAAGCGCTGCCGGACCTCGTTCTTCTTGGTCACGTTGTTCACCACACGCACTGTGTGTGTGGGGTGGGTGTGAAGGGGATGGGTGGGTGGGTACAGGTGTTGGGAGGAGGGGGGATGGGAGAACAAAGGGCACTGTACAGGCAGCAGAACGGTTGCGGATGCAGGGATGGCACGGTGCTGTGGCGGGGATCCTCGCCTCCAAGACTCCAGAGCCTGGGCGAGGCCGGCGCCGAAGCCTCGCGCCTGATCTTCTGCCGCCTCCAGGCACACCCCCGCCTCATACCCGATCCCACCCCAGCGGAACGCCCTCTCACCTGTGATCCCATGGGCGGTGGGGACGGTGGACGGGTGCACCCCCAGCGCCGTAGCGCGCGCCGCCCTCTCCTCCGCGATCGTGCGCGCCAGGCGCGCCTCGATGTAGTCGGACAGCTCGCAGCGTGGCAGGTCGGCGGCCGTGAGCATGGCCTGCGGCCGCTCTGTGGGCACCGTGCGCTCGCCGCGCTGCAGGCCTGAGGGATGCGGGAGGGAGGAGGGGGGGAGTCGTGGCCTCGCGGGTGCGCTGGGCGGGGGGCGGTTGGTCGCAAGCCGACCAGTTGGCGGTGCGACCTAGATCCCACCCTCCCCTCCCCCCATGTCCCCTTCACACCCCCCCCCCCCCTCACGTCCCCTTTTCCCCCCCTCCCCTTTCCCCCTCCGTCCCACCCCCCCCACCCCCCCTACCCACCATGGAGCAGGCACTGGGGGCAGTGGTAGTCGCGCTGGTCCTCGTTGCGCCCCTTGTTGAAGAGGCCGCAGACCTGGTGCACCCAGCGCTCGCAGAGGTCGCACTGCACCCAGCCCTCCTCCACCTCCTCGTCATTGCGCCGCTTCTCCAGGTCGGCGCGGCGCACGCTCCAGCCGTCCATCTGAATGACCTCGGTCTTGACCTCGGCAAAGCAGGGGTGGCACCAGAAGCCCTTGACCTCCACCGACCCGGGGGTGTAGTAGTAGGTCTGGTTGCGCTTGATGCGCTGGCCGCAGGTGAAGCAGTAGAGCGAGGGTGGCTCGAAGGTCAGCCGGTTCAGGCCGCACACTTTGCACGAGTTCTCGTCCTCAAAGTTCGGCATGTCGTCCAGCGTGAACACGCGCCCCTTACCCACCGCCTGCGCCCCCGCCCCCTTCAGCTGGGACAGGTGGGTGCGGATGCCCGCCTCGCCGAAGAACTCTAGCAGGCTCGTCCCGTAGTTCTCCTGGCGGTAGATGCGCGGCCGCTTGGGCACCTGGGTGTGGATGACGGGCGAGGAGTAGTCCGCGCCGCCGCCCGGCGGCGGCGGCGGCGAC